TTCATCTGTCTGATTCACTTTTCTTCAGTACACATAACTCTCGGATTTAAATCCGAGGTTTCCACATTTATTTTAAACAAGATCTACTCAAAATGAATCAGCAACAATAAGCCATCTACTATTATTTTATTTATTTTCAAAATATTCTTTTTCTTTCATCTTTTTTTCCGATACAAAATCTGTTGCAACAGCATCAATATCAATTTGATAATCTTTTTCTATATTTATTAATGCCAAAGATGATAATCGTTCTTCGCCACTTGTATTTCGAAGATACATTTTGATCCTTCTTAACTGCGTCAGTAGTTTTGTTCTACTGATGAATTTTAGACATAGCTTAATTCAAAATGAGATTTCGAAAATAGGAAAGAAATGTGATTATGTTTTACTTGAATGAAGCATGTCGGATGTCTATCACTGTGAATGCATTCATCAAGATAGGAATAACAAATTTATAAGATAATGGTCGATGGATCAATCCTCCTATTTTAATCTGAAAATCGTATAGAATCTATGTTAAATTATGTATTTTTACTCTAGTTTACCAAAGAAGCATGAACAACTTGGATAAACAATAAAGATTTATTGTTTCTCATTGTATTGCTGGTGCGCCACCCATGTTATCATCGTATAGCATGACCTACTACTCTCTTATTATTTATCTTATACCATAAAATCTTTCTCCAATGTCAGTTGTACAGCAATTGAGACTTTCCAAAAAGTATCTTGTTGAGGCATTACATTAGTCGATAATAATTCATAAATCTGTTTTACCAAGCGGTTCAAAATCTAAACATATTTCTTTCGAATAAAGAAGACACTGATCAATAATACGAGTTGCTCCCATATTTCATATCGTATTCGGAATGAACAATTCAAAACTAGACGATAATTTCAAAGTTTTTTCACCAAATGATAAATCGGTACATAGTGACGTAAGTCAATGTACTAATCGGTGATAATGACGACGACTGAAAGTTTTCGATGGTTTTATTAAGAAAATAGTTTTTTAGTTTGATGAAATTTTGAAATGATCAAAGAAGAAAATAATGATAGAGAACGTGATGATGAGAAATTAGACAAGAACAATACTGAAAATTGATCATAAATATTGAAAACTTTCACAACTCTAATCAGGGGTGGCGCGACCGGGGGGTAGTCGGGGGTGCGACACCCCCCCAATCTTCAAAAATTTCTGTTTTTTTGCTCAACAAAATCAGGAAATTTTCTTCCATTTGTCACCAAAAACAATGTTACACCCCCCGAAAAATTGCAGACTTCGTCTTTCTAGTCTAAAAAATTTCGCTACACCCCCCCAATGTTGGTTGACTCGCGCCACCCCTGACTCTAATATATTGATTTTTCTGTCCAGACTGTGCAGGTGGATCTGTACGGTGTTGGAAGCAGTGATTGAAATATCTTGAAAATTTTCTGCCATCGACAACGAAAGCTGAGAATTATTCTAAAAGATTAGCAACAGTGACGGATCGGGCGCGCGAACTACACTTATATCTGTATGCATATGAAGTGAAACAATAAATTCAACGAACAATTGTACAAGTTTCGTTATTTTTTTGACTCTAGAAGCGACACCGTATTTGGTAGTGTACAAAAGCGTTGTAGAAAATCTGGATCTAGATAAACCTGCTATAAACGATTGCATAAGTTTTAACAATATTTTTTTTTGGTACAACATTATACAGAATTTCTCGGAGTGGACTGCGTCGACTCAAAATTGACTGTATACTTATGAAATATCATTGATAACTTGCCGAAAATTAACCTCGAATACAAAATAAAAAATTTCACTATTCACATCTTTACATAAATCACGCATCAGGATATGGGTATTATTCATTTGCCATCAATGCTCTAACTGATCTGATTATGAATTTTACTAAACCAAGGCATTTCCGTCTAACTTTACTGCAGCAAATCGTAAGAAAATTGTTCAAAGCTTTTGTTTGTTCCTTAAAATTTTTATCTATGATTGAAAGATCAAATGGTGATTGATAAATAAAATCTTTAATCTCCAGGAAATCTACTACATAACATGCTGACTCAGGATGGAAAAGACACTCAAAAGCTTCATTATGAAGTTCTGCTTTTATTCCTGCTATTTTACTCAAAGTGTCAGTTCGACAATTTCAATAAGCTTTTCGCGAAATTTTTCAATGTGAAGGATCTAAACAAGGTGATTGATTTATACAGCCTATGTCGTTTTTTCTTTCTTTTAGAAAAATCGACAGTTGAAACAGTTTACTTTTTTTGATACCAATTTTGATTATTTTTTATTTTTTAATATTAATTTGGTTTCATCAGTCGTAACAATATAGATTTCATCCGAAGAAAAATGACAATTATTATGGTATTTCTCACAAGTGTTTTACGGTGTGCGCGTCAAATAAAACTGTTATCGACATCAAAGTTGTTGTGCTGAAAAAAAGTCATGTCTGCTCTTAGAAGAATAAATTCTAAAAGACTTTCAATGGTACGAAAACTTTTCTTTTTTATTGTTTTATTTTTGAATTGAGAGAAACTTGCTTAAGTCTCCTTAGTTGAGCAAAGAATTCTGTTAGAACCATTAGTAAAAACACATTCATTTACTAATCATCTTTAATAAATCAATCACTATTAATTCAAATTCATTAATGATTCTAATAAGTCAGAGTCAATTTTAATATAATCTCATCGAATTTAATTGATATATTTGACGTTCTATTGAAAATGATGCTATAATGACATAAAATTATGTTTTAGTTTACGAATAGATAGAGAGAAGAGTAAAAAAA